GGGTTTCCAGCTGGAGACATTCAAGACCTGAGCCATTTTCATTTACCTGTTTCCCATAACATCACATAGCATATTGGGTAAGCAAAGAAACTAAGGAGACTGAGCACAGAAGTCTCCTTAAATTAAACATTTCAGCAAAAATTAAATAATCCAGGCTTAAAATTTTTGATGCCATTATAAAGAATGTTCTGCTATACTAGACTTTGTAATTTCAAAAATGTATTTAAAACAAATTCTCAAAACTATTACTTGAAGATAGAAAATATCACAAGCTGGTATTTTTGTTACCTAACAACAATCTACTCACCTTTATCTAATGTTTATAGCCCATTTTCCCACTGTTAAAAACAACTGAAAATCAGAGAGAACTCATGCAAGTTTGCACTCTTGCTTTTGAAACTGGTGGGAGACACTAAATGCAGCACTGTGAATATCACTGAATGCAGTTAGTATAATCTCCTTTCTCCTCTCTTGGCAAAAGCAGGCTCAAGTTGAGAGTTAAGGGACACTTGGAATTATACTGTATTTTAATCAATGACTACTCCAGAGGGAAATTCTGAAGCACCAATCCCATAAGTAACAACGCCTACTCTGTTTCTATTACTCATTCTAAAGTATTTGCATTTAACTTTTCAACAAAGTAATCTCATGCATTTCTATTTTCACAAAGAGCAGGAAAACATGTACTGAAGAACATCAACATCCATCACTGGAATTAGTTTTGCTTCTTACCACTAAGTAATCCAGACAGTCGGTCACCAGTTCGATGAACAACTATAGTGACTCTGACACCTCCCTCTTCTCCATTACTGTTTCAAACAGACAAACTGAAGGGCCACCAGCCATTTATTCTGTCAAGATGTCTCTTTATTTGAAATAATGATATGGTATTTCGACGCTACATCAAAGCTACACAGTGTTACAAAGTAGAAAAAATCCAGGGGCAATGATAGAAGTAATCAATGGTAGAAGTAATGCTACTCATCAATAAAAAAAAAAAAAAAAGAAAGAAAAAGAAGCTCCAGCAGCCAAAACACTTAACAGCCTCCTTCTTTTTGTGAAACGTATGTATGTATGTAAGAGGAAGCAAGACAATGGGAGGGAACTGCAAAACACTTCTTCCACACACCCTTGACGGGACCGCTCCGATGGCGCGTCCGTCCCGCTCGCTGCCCTGTTCCCTGCCAGGCCGCGGGCACAGCGGGCAGAAGGCTGCGGGGACGGCGAAGCCCAGCGCGGCCCCGCAGCGGCCCCGCCGCCTCCGGCTGCCCTGACAATGGCCAACCGCCCCCCGCCCCGGCCCGGGCTATTGTGCAGCCGACTGCGGCTCCCGAGCACGCAGCTGCCTGCCCAGCACCTCTTCCTTCCGCAAAACAATTCATTTAAATAATTTTCAGAGTAAGGTTAGGTTTAGGCACGTACCGCATGATCTCGGTAAGTGATCTACAGCTAGCCATGCCTAACTTCTGAGCCCTAAAAACCGGCCCGCACTGAGAAAGCACATTTACAAAGACGACCAGAAGCAGCATGACACCCTTACAGGTGTTTCTCGCCCAACTGCCCCAAGGAAGCGAGCCCGGGATGGCGGAACGAAACCCACCGGGGCTGTAACAACCCGCGGCAAGCAAGAAACCGAAAGCTCTCCCCGGCGCCCAGCGCGGCCCGCTCGCCCGCCCGAGGGCCCACCGGCCCGGGCCCGCCCGCGCTGCCTCGGCGCTCCGCCGGCGCCAACTCGCCGCACAGCCGCCGCCAGCTCGCCCCACAGCCGCCGCCGGCCCCGCCCGGCCTCACCGTCCCGCCGTCCTTAATGATGATCTTCTTGGCCAGCATAATGCTGCGGTTGACGGCGCGTTTCTTCTTCTTCCCCCCCTGGGTCATTTTACCATCCTACCGCCCCGGGGGGGGAGCGGGGGCAGCAGCGGACCCTCCCCAGCAGCCGGGCCTTCGCCTCCGCGCGCGGCCGCCGCCACCGCTCACACACCCGGCGCCATCTTAGCCAGCCACCCCCGCGCGCAGCCGCCGCCGCGCATCACGCGATCGTCCCATTGGCCGGGCGCCGGTCACGTGCGCGGGACGCGCCGCGCGGGAGGCCGCCGGCCGTGCCCCGCCCCGCCCCGGCTGTGGACGCACGCGCGGCGGCTGCAGACAAGAATCGCGCGGAGCGGCAGTGGCCGGCACGAGCGAGCTCGAACCCGAGCTTTCCGCCATACCGCGCCACAGCTCCCTCAGCAACCTCCATCTTTCGGCACGCCGATCCCCACCTGCGCTGCTGGGGACACTTGACTTCTTTGCCTATCCAGACAACACTGGCATTTAAAACTACATTACCGCGGCCTTTTTCGCCCCTCAGAAGCCTGCGTCTCTCACAAGCCTCTGCAAGCATCGGCCCTCTCAGCCAACCCCTCCCAGCCGAACCTAAAGGATCATTTCCAGCCCTTTCCTCCCTCCCTGAGCTGGCCGAGGGGCCTGGAAAAAAGGAGCAAAAAAAGGCAGTCCTTAATGGTCATACCTATTAGACATCAAAAGACATTTCTAGAGCCAAAATACATAACCACGGATGTATTCCATCATAACAATCCAACTTGGAGACATTCTGCTTTCTTACCCTCGAGTTTTAAACTTAGCTCATGAAAGCTTTAACAACCTTAAACGGACAGGCCGTTTCAGGTTTTGATTTACCACACAGCCTGCAGGTAATACGATAACAGGGATCGGCTTTCCCAAGGCATCATATCCATTAGCAGAGAAAATCTTTCAGAAAGGTGTACTATTACTATTAAATTTTCTGTAGCTAATCATTTAAATTCCTTCACCACTGATGCCTGGCACCATTAAACAGAGCAACATCTGTGCACATGCAGTAAGTACTATTACATTCACGATCTCAGACACAGCTCTCCACGGCCATACCCTCATACCAGTCTTTTCTCTCTTCTTCACTCAGTCCTCCATCTTCCAGCCCTCTTACTGCATATCCTCAGCTCCTCCAACATCCCAGTTTCCCCCAAATCCTCAGCTGCGCATTAACATCTCTGTCCATACAGTGGCTGCCATGCTGAACCTCAACCCTAACGTTAGGTACTCTAGCGCCCTTCCAGCACAGACACCACTATGTTAACAAAGGGGTGTAAATCACTCACCACTTAAGATCATGTGGGCTTAAGTTAAACTATTAGCCTTTAGACCAAACACCCTCTTATCTTACCATAATGCAGCTTTAAAGGACTTTAGAATTTAAAGAGACACATCCCTATTCAGGCCAGTGGATCTACTCTGGTCTCAGAGTGAGACAAAAGCAAGTGACACAAAGTGTGGCTCTACCAGCCACTTTTTTCCACTGGTGGAAAAAGGATGTTTGCAGCCATTGCCATTATCAGTCATTTGTTACAAATCTTGTAACAATTGCAGTACGCTCCAGGATTTCTCAGTCCTTCTATTTGAAAAGGAGACGGGGTTCCAATTTGCCATGGTTTTGGGTCTACTCCTTGGAGAGAGTGCTGTTACATTTTGGTGGGAGTGTTACACACACACATGCATGACATGTAAGGCACTCGAGCAAAAAGCTTAACACCACTACATCTCAGCAAAGACATTTTGTAACTAGGCTGATTAGACAGCTATTTTTCCATCCACACCTTTATATTAGACCAATCCCTGTTACTGATGTCACTATCCCAAAAGAAATGCATCTTAAATATCAAGTTTGCTCATGTAGGCTGAGCAGACGATTCAAGTAAGAATTCTTAGCTTTAGAATAAACTCTAAATAAATATGACTTGCTTTTGCTGTCATGAATTTCAGCCAGCCACACGTTTTCAAGTATGAAACTCCACTTACCTACATAAGTCCTGACATAATCCATGCTGCCATTATTTAACTGAGACACAAATTCCTGACATTTAATCTCCTAAAGAAGAGAAACAAAAATTGTCTGTTACATCTAAACACCCGTAGTCTTCAACCTTCTATACAAAGTAAATGCATAATACTACCCACTAGCTGTAAAAGATATTACCTTCTTTTTGGAAGCGGAATGAAAAGGGACAGAGTACTTGTCATGTACTTGGCTTCCCCCAAGGGAAACCGTTGATCCTAAAGTACAGACAGACAATGGTTTCAATGGTTTCAGTTAAGACTCCTATATATTGCTTTTAGGCCAGACTTGAAGAACACTGTCCCGTGCATCCCAGTACTCTGTACCACATACACTCATATGAGTAGTTGATAAGTAATTAATTTCTGTCACCTAATGGTGTTGAAATTTCCATTTAAATCATTCTGCCCATGATCACTAAGACCACCAGAGCAGTATTCACAAAAAGAACTGACAGAAGTGAAAAGTCCTGAAAATTACTGGTGCATAGCTGGTGAAATGACCTGATTTTATTATATGTATCTCTGGAAAGAACAGGGAAATGTGTTATCTGCCATCTATAGCAATGTGTTTGTGAACTCTGTTCAGGTCTTTGATATATTATTGCCATACAAAACCTTAGCTTCTAAATTGTAGCATGAATTAATGGTTTGTGTTGTATTCTACAGGATGCATTGTATAGTACTTTCCACTGCTATCAAAATTAAATATTTAAAACTGGGGAAAAAAAAAGAAGTGTTACTGAAGCACCAGCTGCATCCTGGTAACTTGTAGCAAAACTCTTCCACAAAGGATGACACTATTTTAAAATCACACACCATACTGTAACTTGGTACTTAATACCCAGATGCTCCCTACCACGTCCAGTTCAGGAGCCACAGCCCTGAACAAGATCAGGGTTTTCAGACCAGAAGACTGCACATACAGACAGTCACATGAACACTGCAGGAATGGGATCCACAAGAGGTCATAATACAGTGGTCAAAAAGAAGCATGTATCAATCAAAATTAAGTTTCTGGCAAAATTCAGTAAGCTGTATGTTAAAAGATAGCATTAACAAATATCTTACAATAGTCTTCCTGATTCTATAGAAAATTATTTCAAAAATTATATTCTGAAATAATAGATATTAAAACATTTTTTTTATTTCTGATAAAATATGCATAAGGCAAACCTCTCCATTTACAAAGCTCTCAAACAGTTTTGTATCATATTCTTAATAAAGCTGGTGCTTAATTTTAACTAGGTTATTACTACAGTGACATTATCTACACATAAAGGAGAAAAACATACAGTATTTTACTTCAATATGGATTTAAAAGAAGACTATATTAGGTGATGTAAAATGCATTCCATCGTTCAGCAGTGTCTACAAAAAAAATATCCAGCTTCCAAACTGCCTGAAAAAAACATATATTAGAATAGTATTCAGTGTAATCACACATAAAATCAACATATAAAAAAATCCTAAGACTACCTTAAAAATTTTGCTACAGTGTTTGAATATATGATTTATATTTGGGGTCATATATTTAAAATTAAATTTAGAATATATTGACAATAAAGACAAGCTTTTAAAAATCTAAAAAAATGTTAATCACGGCAGCGAATATAAACATATGCTTAGCATATAAGCAATTTTTACTGTGCTATAAATTGCTAATGAAATTAATATGGCTAATTACAGTCAGAATGATGATGGAAGATTGAAGGTGAGAGTTAAAAATGTCATGTCTACTCCTGAATGCAAATGTTCAGCAGACATCTAAGCATGAGCATTGAACGGCACCTCAGGACAGATTTTTTTTTTTTTTTTTTCTTCTAGAAAGAGTTAAAAATTCACCTAGTGGGAAATAATTAGAAAAAGTTATAAATTCAACTGAACAGAAACTTGGATTCACAGTAAACAGAGTAGAAGATATCATCTAATTAATCCCGCTTCTTTTGTTGCATTTTCCCCTGCATTTTTTCCAGTAAAAATATCTTAATTCTAGATATGTAAAAACATATAACAAGCTTACCTGGAAAGAGTAGAACTCTTTAGTAACTACCTGTGGAAAATAATCAGCATTAAAAATGAACAGAACAATAAAAACAAAGGCAAGGAAACAGTTCTCGAACTTTCTTACAATAACTGAATACCATAGATAATGATACACTACCACATATATGGTATAATACCATGTTATAGATAAACATTACCTTTCTAATACACAAAAACATCCTTACTGTTTTTAAATATCGCCTTTTAACGAAATGTGGATTTCAGAGAAGAAAACAATGGTTAACCTTCCTCATTCATAATATCCAGCAAGAAACACTGTCAACAGGAGGAAAAACAGCAACAACTTCAAATTTGGAAAATGATGATTGCTTAAATACAACAGAACATGTGCAGCCGATAAGGAAATATACTAAAATATGAAAGTTACTCACAACAAAAAACAGAAGGAATGAATGCAACATTTCATTTATCTATTTTAAAACAATTAAACAAAATTCATTACATTCTTTTTATTACAGCCATAAAAATAAGGTAGGAACACAGAACAATTATGTACTTCTAAAAATCTGAGAAGACTGTAAGAGTAACTGAAAGTATATGCTACTAAAATAAGATTGTTTTTTTGAGAAAAAGATGAAACAATAGTTTCTAAAAAGTTACAGTAAAAACCCCGAGGTGTTATCTTGTAGAAGCTGGATCTAGAACATTAATCTACCCATTATTAAAGCAAATAAAAAGGGAAGTTTTCTTATAATTTCCCTAAAACAGAAGTAGTTGAATAGAACTATAAAATTATTGGAATTCTTTGAGAAAAAAAGATTATCGGGCACTTGTGGATAGCACAGAAATACAATCTTTAAAGAAAAGTTTATCTTACTTTATTAGACTCAAGATTTTTCACCACTGAACTGCTGATTTATTTTGCTTTGAAGCTAGTTCTATATTTATTATTATTTGACCATTTATCATGTATCCCGGAGATTCTCAAATAAAACTACCAAATATCCAAGTATTCAATAAATACTAGTATTCCCATTATGCAAGTCTTAAAAAAAAAAAAATCACGTAATTCAAGTTATTGCAAATAAATACCTACCTATAACTTTATAAATACTTAAATAAAATTCTGCTAAGTATAGGTTAGCTTCCTAAATATACAACTAAAGTAATAAATCCATTGTCTAAAAGTCAGAATAGTTCAGAAAGACAGGTTTATTTTTGGAAAGTTAGACTCCTGCAGTTTGCTTTTAGGGCAAACTCAAAGCACACTATCCCCTATTTCCCAATGCTCTGTGCTAGCTATGCTTCTTTGGTTAGTTAATGAGTTATAGACTTACAATTGGGGGGTTTTTTCGGTTGTTGGTGGGTTTTTTTGTTGTTTTTTGTTGTTTGTTTGTTTGTTTTTGTTTTTTTTTACTTTAAAATCCAGATACAGAAGTATCTTAATGAGAGAATGTGCATATGCTCTCAGATTGCAAAGGTTACAGAGATCAGTAAACCCTCCTCAAATCCCTTCTGTTCTCAAGAAACATAGGCTGTCTTCCCTGTCTAGAATAATGTTTTTCAACCTGGAGGGCCTCAGACAAGAGTCTTTCCTGAGCCCTTCACAGGCTCAGAAAAGACAGCTCAAAATACAAATTCCTATTTCCTTTACAACAACAAATATATGAAGAGAACTATCTCTCTACTGGAAAATTTAATGGAACTGTCAGTTGAGAGGATGGAAGAGTCACTGATCTATGGACAGGAGTTACTGTTCCTTAATACAGTAGATATATTGTTTTCCAAAGTTGTATGACATCCTATTCAAAAGCAAAGAGCACGTATTCCTGTTCTTTCCTTTAAACCAACCCTTACTGACAAATATTGACAGGTGCACCTGAAGTATTAGAACTGGGTTATATGTAACAGAACTTGAGCAATGCAGTGATTATCTGGATTCTTTGGTCCCTTCCTGTGCAACTGGCTTGAAAGTGTCCTGAACATGCTCCTTCTGTTTTGTTTTGTTTTTTTTCCCAAGAAATTCCCCAAGGAAGTAAGCAATTATATCATCTGAACATTTCCACTACTGCGATTCATGAAATTAAAAGTATTATCATGTTGGCCAAACTCCAATTCAGATATTACTACCAACACTTCTCAGATCATTTCTGTCATGCATTTCCCATTCTACACTAAGAAACACTGTGACCCACTGTTCTATGCATACATCGTACCTCATGTGGTATTTCAGTGGTGAAACGACTAAATGTACTTTTCCAAAGATTTTCCCACATTGAGTGCTATAGGTAAAAGGTTTTATATGAACACAGTATGCCAATTTACAGTAATATGAGATAGCTTTGACTACCAAGTAGTAGAGCTCCTGCAATTATGGCACACTGGGATAGATTCACAGTTCACAAAGCTTAGCAAGCCCTTGGCAGAACTCTGACATTTATTTAACGTCTTGCTCTGATACAGTAAACAAACAAGAAGTTGATAATCTATGTCATTGCCAACAGAAGGAAAACACACTTTTTACTTGGCTGACATAAGAGGAATTTTTCCTTTCCCCTTTACAATACTTCATTAAAAAAATCTCAGAGCACTCTTACAGAATCTCCTTGTCAATCCACCACTAAAGTGTGGAAGGGAGGATGAGGTACTTTGGTAAAGATTTTAAAACACCTCTCTCTTCACAACATTAGCACAAGAGAGAAGAGAGCAAGAGCATGAGGGGGGAAATAAGGAAATCATACATTTTCACCACTTGCCGTCCTACAGGTAAGTAACTATTGATATGTTTTTGTATAAAAGTATACATTTAGAAATATAATGTGGATAAGAAATTACTCTACATTAATACCCATTGTGAATATGTTTCCTGAAAACAAGTGATTTTAAAGACACTTTTGTTTCTAAAAACTTTTTTTTTCTTTATTAGTCCTGGCTTTTTTTTTTTTTTTTGGTGTTTCTGGCTATATGCAAATACTTCAGCAAGAGAAGTGTTTGTAACAGTCTAACTGATCTAAGTACTAATTGCATCTAGGTTTCTTTGTGACACTTTTTTTTGCTTAAAACAGGAGAATGCTTTTATATTTACCTACTGCACAATTACTGTTTCACTATGTTTCCTATTCAAGTAATCCCACTACTAGACTGAATAGTTCCAGAGAACCCATTTTGGTCTGTTGGCTCAAGGACTCCCAGAACAAAATAATAATAAAAATTTAAAAAAAAACCCTCAAAACATAAATAAAACCAAAACAAAACACCTCAGATTAAGCCATTACATAGAAACGTACTGAAAAAGCCTTGGAGAGTTCATGAGTAAACAACACTTGTTCAAAAAAAACACCTCTGTAATAAAGTACAGTACAGTATATAGATGATACACCACAATAGCGCCAGATGGAGCTGTTACAGACAACAATAATGCATTTAAAACTTTTATTATGGGCTTTTTTTTTTTTTTTAAATATTGTGGTTAAAAAAATCCCCAGAGGATATTTAAAGCATAAGAACTACTTTAAAGGTTCTACCAAAAAGTTGCCTTCTAACCAATAAAAATAAAAGGAATGAACGTTACATCTGAGCAAGCACTCCGCTGTAACCCTACTTTTAGTGGTGGGTTAGTGCAGTAACCTCTGGCCAGTGTTCACAGAGTTACTGCATCTGTTGGAACATTATGGGCTGTCCTGATGAAGGCTGGAGTATCAACACAGATTTTGAGCTTTCACTCTGAATTTCTCCCTTTGTGTACTTAGGTGAGAATGTTAACATTCTTACAATAGTTTTCTATAAGCAACAGAATTATTACAATTTAATAACAGATTCCTGTTATTAAATCAGTCTTCTAAAAATATAAAAATATTTGATATTGTGAAAGAGTCTTTCAATCATACTTCAATCTTCACAGTTTTAATAAGGAATAGCTAATTAGAACCATCACTTTAGAACTATGACGTGTATTCAACTGATTTCATGTAAATAGACAAACAGTTAAAAACATATTTACTAAGATTAAATATAGTCAAATTGCAAAAACATACAATCTGACAACGTTGTCATGTGCTCTTTCGAAGAGTGCATAGGACATATTTCTGCAGCAGTCAATACCGTAAATTTTTTTGATGCAATCCCAGTCAAAGCTGTAAACATTCCTAATTGCAGTTTCTTGGAAACTTTTTGTTCCTTTCAAGTTTTTATTAGCAAGTTGCACTGGGCATTCCCCTGCCATTTTCCCCCCCCCCATCAGTTACAGACAGTATCATCATCCACCTTTAACCCCTCTGGCTGTTCAAAACTACTCATAAGCTTTTCTTCAATAGATTCAGGGTAGTAATCCTTTCCTTGCAGTGCACAATGACACTTTCCACATGCCATTGTTAGCAAGGCCCCCAATACATGATCTTGAGAAGCAGGTTGATGAGGAAGTCTGCTATGCCTTAATGGGATTTCCTGCAGGTTTGGGATCATAACCGTATAGGAAAGTAGCTGCTATTACAAGGACGGCTCCGAAGAAAAAGACACTGAATAGAATAGGGATGAAAAAAAAAAAGTTAGCTCCTTTTAGTTGATGCAATTTTATTTATGTAACACAACCAAAAGAAATAATATCTTTCCTGTGGGAACACAGGAAGATAAATAATAGTTGTCCAATTTATAAAGAAAAAATAATCTGCATATATTTATTATATAAGGATGCAGGAAGAAGTTGAAATAAGAAACTCACATCCACAAAATAATGCATCATTATACTGACATACCCTCAAAATCAAAATTATAGTTTCACGGAACAATTGTCAAAAGTAATCAGATGAATTTTTTTTTGTTGTTTTTTGTTTTCTTTTGCCTAAATCTCTGTGCTAAATGCAAGCAAAAGCTAAAGAAATGTAACTACAGTGGTTACCCAGCCACTTTTAATATCTTATGTACATCATGTTGTTGGAGTTGTGCTTGCTTTGAAGTCCAAAGCTTATGTCAAAACAATTTACTGCTGCCCAAGAACCAGTCTGCAAGTCAGTATAATCTAATTTTTGGCAGATACATAAAGATTTATGTAAGGAAAAGAAAATAAAGGCATCTTTTGTATTGTGACATATGGGCCTTTCAAGTTGTTTTGATAGTTACAAGTCTGAAACAAAATATCCAAAGCCAACAGACAATCAGTACACATTTTAGAACAGAACCTTGTCATAAAAACATGGCAATGTTGACAATTTGATCTTCTGAACCAAACGCTAAAAAAACTGTGGCACATGACATGATAATCCTTCAGAGAATACAGTTAGCCTATTTCTGGACAAGATCCATTGCAACACATTCAACAACTTAAGTGCTTAGCATTTATTATCCCAATTGAAAATGTTTGTGGAAGTCACAGAAACAATTATGCAGTTTCAGTTCAAATAAATTCAGTTGGCATAAGCAAGGTACTAAAGATTAAGTTTGATTAACTCAAGTTAATCAAGTTTTATTACACGAGATGGCTTCAAGTTCTACATGCTGCTAGTTGGCTCCATCTCATTTAATTATTTACCACTGTTTCCATTTTCACCACATTTGCAGAAGCTGGTAAGTTACTTATTAATTTTCCATTTAAGCACACAGAAATTCTTAAACTAGTTTCTACATTTAATAGGACAAGTATAGGCTACTTATAATTTAACTTCAATGTCTTCCACTTTTTAAGCCTCAATAGTTGTTCTACTTCCTCTTTTGAATGTTTAAGTGAAGTCCTGCTAACGTTGCAAATACCACATTTAGATAAAAAGATGTTTCTTTGTATCAGATACAGAAGTTGTAAATACTATTCAAAATATTTTTAACCTATGAGTATGTGTCACATATGTGAGGAGTGTAGGTCAATTTTAAGCAAACCCTACTAGTATATCTGAAAGTTGGAATATTACCTCTACACTCCATATATTAACATGCACTGCCAAGACATGCACTGTTCTGGAACCTATCCATGTACAAAACCTGCAGTGCACAGAGCTAATAAAATCTGATTCACAAAACATCAGGACACAGTGTATTGGACCTAGAAGCACACAGCAAGCACTTTTCTCTCCTTCTTGGTTAAGCGTTTTCACTAATAAATCTGGTGTTGACTTCAGAAAATATGTCTGCTTTTGGGCTTCTTTGTGTCCTTGGGCAACTAATTGCTTTAGTGTAACTCCCATGTATGTAGGATTGCAATTATCTTTTTTAGAGACTGTTTTGAGATGGAATGAAAACCTGTATAAAAAGATTATCATCATTACCATTGTTCAGCCATAACTCTTGCAATGAGGTGACTTGTGGAAGATCTGTCCATTCTGAGGACAAAGAAAGCAAGAGCGGGGCAACCCTTTGCCAGGACCTTCCAGAGAAGAGCCAGCAGGGGGGAGGCTGGCTCAAAGCACCGAGCCCAGCAAGTCTCGACCTGACTGGGGAGCGCAGCCTACGCAGAGCCAGGCGGGAGCCCAGCGGCCGAGGGACATTGGGTGCGGAGGGACAGTGAGGTAAAACACAGAGCCTGCAAGAGTGGTTTGCCAAAAGCCATGACCTAAGATGCAGTTATTCCTGACCTGGTGATGGGCTGTATCTTACAGAAAATGTAACCTTGCCAACTATACTGAAAAAATGAAGTATTAGTTACAGTATGTTACAAAACTGAACTTTTATGTGCCTGTTTTATCTAAACATTCTAAGTGGCTTGGACTGTTTTTTTTTTGTTCTTTTTTTTTTTTGCAGTTATATCTGGTAAACTTTAAGTTTTCAACTATTTTATTTTTCAGCACATGTGGAAAATAATTCCTACCTTGTAGGGACAAAATCTTGCAGCCAGAAATAGGAGATCAGTGTTGACAGTATAATAGAGAGAGAAGTTGCGAATCCCTTTAAAATGTTGTCCGCATATTTTATAACAGCAGCAATCACCAGCCCTCCAAGTGCCTGAAAAAATACTGAGGTTTGGATTTGCAACCCAATAATTCCACTGAGAGCATCTATTTTAACAACATGCACTTACTTTAGGAAAAGCTTTTTGTCTATGTTTAGGAGCATTACTTTATTTTATGTTATGGATGTGCACTGTTGAAGATAAATATCGTAAGAGTTCTTCTTTCCCCATTAAAGACATTGTTGATCATATTACTGTCATTAAATTAGTAGAAATGCTTGTACTATACATTTTTAGCCACAGGACAAAGGGCACACTTTTTTTTTTTAAAACACTGCAGAAGAAATAATGCTTACATTCTTTTATGTTGCACAATATTTAGTCATACTCTTGCTATCTATTTTCCAGGTTTTTATTTAGAACTTTATTTAGTGATAGAGCAGACTTTCACTAGAGAATTCTCAGTAACTTCAACAACACCCATTAGTTTCCCCAGTCATTCATAGAAGAGTAAATCCCAAGTGCCTTCACAGAGACATGGGATACAAGGTATCTCACCTGCAGAACAACAACTATCCAAGTAAGTTTATTGTATCCTTGAAAAAATCCATTCTTTGACAGTTGTTCTCCATCATAAATGTATACACCCATCAGTCCAAATATGCTACCAAAAAATCCTGAAAGTAGAAGATTGATATAAAAACTTCAGGTGAAGGAACTTGTAAACAGGTTCTTTGTCCTCAAGGACTGCTCACATATAACTGATTTTAAAACAGGACTGCCACTTGCAAAACCATCGCATTCAAATGCAATCAGCGTTCAGAAAGATATTCTCTTTTAAAAGCTATTTTCCACACTTATAACAAGTTTTGACTGTTTCCATTAGGACATTCTTATATACTTATCTTCTATTGCTTTCTACTGGATTGGGATGGCATATAGCAAAATTCACTTAAACACAATTTCAGCTTTTCTGAAACTAGTCATGACTGAAGGCTGAAGTCACACTACAACCTGGAGAGAAAAACAGGGAAAACTTTCAGTGGAGGAGATGGTCACTGACATAGCAAGAGTAGGACCTAATCAGTTTGCCAATTCAGACAAGGATCTTGGAAGCAGGATTCTTCTGAACCAGTCTCAAACACAATGAATGTTTACTAGTAGAGACTTAAGTCAGAAGAAGAAATTGAGATGAGAATAAATATCAGATGCAAAACTTTTCCTAATCCCCCCCAGGCATGGAAGAAATGCAAGCACCTCCCCTGTGACTGATAAAGACTCTACTCCTGAGCAGGGAAGTGGGGAACATTTTTTCCATTCCATTTCTGTGAAAAGCTGACCTCTATTTTCAATGCATTCTTTTGCATCTGAAAAGGGCAGCATTGTTTTGAACAAAAGAAAACCTTTCCTTTGACAAGAAATAATTATTTTTGTAGACATAATTAAAAGTGTAGGTTTCATTCAGATTAAACCAACTACTTATTTTTTCCCATTGATCTTCTAAAATAAATAAAATCAACTATTCAAACAACCCTAATATGATAATGGTATGCCTTAAAAACTGAACTTTTCAAAAATTACTCAAATATATTTTCCAATTTTTTCTACAGTTCTAATAATTATCTATAAACATGAAAATGAAAACCAGGTTGGCCATATGGTTTTTGTTGTTCATCTTTTAAGAAAAGCTCTATTTCAAAGCTCTTGCTTATGACTGACTTGTTCCTGAACAATACAATGTCTTAAACAGGCAACTACCTTGTACTTGCAGAAAGTATACACTAACGTAGTCTTGACATTGTGATTTCATGTTTTAAGTATTTTTTAAAAGCTGTATCAGGAAACCCTCTATGAAATATGACATTTCATTTTTGAACTGAAAACAACCCCAATAGTAAACATATTCTACCGAATTTTCTATTAAGGCAAATTAAGCTCACTGACAAAAATTAAATAAAAAAATCAGGTCATTCAATTCTAACTAATATCACAGACATTTATGTCTTCATATATCACAGTCCTAGTTAGTTAGGCAGGCTGTTCTGATCTCACTGTTTTCACAAAGCAGTTACTGGAACATTCAATATATGACCACACTGACTTCAAACTAGTGAGCTAATTTGTTTTCATACATATTTTTATGCACTGTAGAAAAATATGAAGAATGTTTTAGAAGAGATCATTGATTTTTCAACAATTATGAATGTTTAATTGGGAATTGTATCAGATATCTGCATTGTTGCCCATCAAAGCACTTCTAGCATGGAAACTGAGAGTAATAATAATCAGCTTTCCGTGGCAACGGATTTTACACTGTAGCTCAATCCAGAGCACCAAATCTTACCTTAAATCCTGGACCAGGACCCAGCTACCTACCACCCTTCTCTGCATTCCCTAACAAACCTTTCCTGATGTATCCCCCACATCCTGGTCAGGAAAACTTAGTTTTAATATACACAATTTCAATAAATACTAGCAGATAGCAAGTAGAGGTTTTTATCCCCTACTCTATTATCAAGTTTCAAACCATTACGGACATGTAAAAATATTAAAATATAATCAAAATGCAGTTCTGCATTTATAACCATTTATAATTAAACCACAGCAACAGGAAAAGAACAGAAAAAATATTGCCTGTATTCAGACATTTTTGACCATACCACTTTTTGACCAACTATCTATTTACAAAAGAACACACTATCTCGTGTTTTTATGGTAATATATTACATTATACCAGACTCAGTACACAGCCCTAATCCACTAAATCATCCTCATGTCTTAATTCTGCAGGCTATGGATTTGATCAAGAATCTGTACTAAGGTGCTGGAAAGTTCAAATTCTGCTGCAAGCATTTATTCAAATATGCAATAAATAATTATTGCCTACAGCTGAAGACTAGAGTGATTCCATTAAAGGGCAACTTCAACAATAAGTTTTGTTCCTGTGGCAAAATGAGAACAAAAAGACATTGTAAATGTCATATTTCCAACCCCATAAACTTGACAAGATAGCTTTGAGGTGAGGGAAAACTCATTCAGGAAAATGGATCAATTCTGTTGCCATTAACATGTAGGGTCTAGAAAACCCCGAACTATTTTGGAAATAGAAGGTAGTCTCTTACTGATAGATGCATACTGGGTAAGGGCATTAAAATAGTTAAGATGAACTGGTTTTTGCATATGCCCTTCTCCAGTGATTATACAGACAACTGAAACAAACTGGCCTTTGTACTGAAATAATAATTCATTACCTCAATCTTATTCATAAACAAAGCATTTTTTTGTATTAAAAGTGCCAACCTATAAAAACTGCCTACCCAAGCACAAAAGAAAAAAAATGCTAATTTTAAAACCTCTCAAAATACTGATTTAGAAACATATTTTGTTTTAATGTTCCTATATTTTCAAAAAAAAAGGAAAAAGGAATGATATCTATATTTATCAGATCTTATAAATTAGTGCAGAAGACAGTAATTTTTAAACACAGAAGATAAAAAGAACTGTGCATAGCATTCTTTAGAAAATTTTAAATACAAATTCAATTGACAGATTCTGTACAAACTTACAGACACTCTACATGCATGCTAAATCAAGAACTAGTTTGAGATCAGAAAGCAACTGCTAAAATTCTATCTAGCAGAGTTTACACTCTTAGTTTTAAAAGTGTGTTCATGCAGAATACTAAAACGTTCATGATATTTTTTATTTATATGTATTTTTTGCACATTTATCTCAATTCCTCAGAACGCAGTATCTCTAAGAGATAACTAAAATAAAACTTACCAAGCTGAATGTTTCTGATCCATACAGACTGCTTGGTTTCCTTTAAAATTTTCTCAAAATAAACCCCAGCAAATCCACTAGAAAAGCATGCTATAAGAACTGCAATCAGGCCTACAAACTGAGATCCTGCTGAATGTTCCTTAGCAGCTGTTGCTTGAGAGTCTGAAGGCCACTGGATGTAAAAACAGTTATACAAAATTCACTGATAAAGTCATGAGCACCTATAGAATGCAAATTTGTTTTTTAGCAACAGTAACAGTTATTAAATAAAATCACATGCTGATAAAGTTTTGTATTTTGCACCATGAATACTTTTACAGGGCTGTAAAGCCATACTTTTTCATTCTATATATTTGTAACGAGTAAAATTGTGCCTGAACTGGGAGAACATCTGCCAATTTAAACAGGTCCAGGATTTATATTTTATAAGCCAGAACTGTTTCTGAATCTCAGCATGACTTATCATGGTCATTCACTTATGCCACTCAACAGCTAGTTACCTTACAAATATAAGCACAGTTAGAAAACCAATTACAACAGCTGTCTTTAAGATGGGATGAATTATGCAGATGACTAAAACAAGGTGAAATTTATGAAGCTAAATCCTGCAGTATATCTAATTCTAACAGAATAAAATGCAATGCCATAGACAAAAACATACTAAAGAGTCTGTTAATTATTATCACAATGTTTTGTTCTTATTTTTAATTATTAAATTTGAAAATTCTAGAAAATTTAATCCTCAGAATTTTTTTCAAATCCTTAAGTTTAAAAATAAAAATTTCTAGGATATGCTAGAAGCTGCTAAGAATTCTTAGAATAGTCTCTTATCCCATGATCCAGCCCTCTGAAAACTACAAACTTCTGTACCTGCACTATTTAGAACAAAGGCCAAGTTTGCCTCTTGAAACAAGTTCAAGTAGATTTGCCATGCTGCAAGTGTACCACAAGGTGAGCAGCAGGACTGTGCTAGCACAGAAGGCCTGTGAATCCCCAATGTCTGAAGAAGCGTGCTAATAAATATTGCTATCACCACTATTTGCAGGTTGCTCCAGAGGCCCTGTCACATTCTACAGTAGAGCACTGGGATACAAAAGAGGTGTTATCTTCTGCCTTTGAACCATTTCTGCTGTCCTCTAGCCCTGGCCAGTTGTGATTCGTAGCTCCTGACCATACTCTGGTGCTCATTTGCAGCCAGCAGTATCAGAAAACTGTATAATTAGTATAGAAATCCACATTCTTTGAATAAACACATTAAACAAACACAAACCACCTGTTAATATTTACCTGCACAAATGCCACTCCTGTCATTAATATTACTAATGAAAGCCACTGGTATACACCCAATTTCTTGCTCAACATCGACACAGAAAACAATGCTGTGGTAAGAATTTTCAGTTGATATGTAACCTGGAAGAACGCAGAAACAGTTACTACTGCACAATTCATGAGTTTTTTGAAACTTATAGAGAAATCCAAATGTACAATACCTGGTATGTGGCTGCATCTAGGTTTGACAATGCTACATACAGCAAGTTATTCTGAAGAGTATAAATTCCTGAAGGAATAGCAAGTTTAAGAGTTTCCATGGGTTTATTAAGGATTTCATCATGTAGCACTCTGTTCAGAGTCCGTAAATTGCACTCTACCCAAAGAAACAATAAAAGAAATAGATATTCACTAAAAAAAAAAAAAAAAAAAAGAGAGAGATAGCAATGTTCTGTTCTTAAAGATTGTTGCCCCCTTTTTATAGTTATCACTGCTATCCAGGCCTTAAAAATACTGTCTGTTTGTTTGATTTTCATGAACCTCATATATGTAAGAAAAAAAGGCTGCAAGAAGTGTCTTCCTGTAGCCTGGAATATCAGAACTAGAACAATTATGCAGAATACTTCAAGTAAAACTTATTGGAACGATATCAATATTTGAAGATGATACATTAAAAATTATCACCTAAAAAGTGCCCATTTAGAAGCCTACTGTGCCATCAGTATTTATGCACATACAATGGTATTTCTAAGCTGCTGAAAATATAACGTATATGTCAAGGAACTGGATAAATTCAGTATAAAATATACAAAAGGAAGAACTAGAGTAAATCCGAATATACTTTTTCTGAGCTTAAAACGGTGCTTCATCCTGTATAATGAAATTGCTTCCTCCCTTCTGCATCTGCTGTTTATTATAGGCTTCTAAATTATCATTCATGCTTTGGACACAAAGCTTTTCATTTTTTTCCTACTTCTACATATGAATTTCTTAAAATGCCTATGCAAACACAAGCTTCAAGCTGTTAGTAGAAAGTTTATTCTTGCATTCCTCAGCACCCACATTCTTTAAAGAGAACTCTCTTCAGCAAATACACAGTATCTTGTATCGTGTGTTGAGGAGTGAAGTATGATTAGTGTCTTTCCAAGACTATTTCTTACATGAGAAGGGAAATGCTTTGCTGTATGCCTGTAGTCACATGGCTGTTTTTCAGTTGCCACTACAGTACATCATACTGATTAGGAAAATTACTTGGTGCAAAATTTGACACATACTGCTGTCTTTGTAGACCAGTAGAACACAGGCCAAAATCTTCAGAAGCTCAGCAATAACTACTGCAGTAGAGGATAAGTAACGAGGTCCTTCTTCTTTCAGTGTCCGAGAATAACGCATGGTCAAGACTAAACTTGTGGTCTGAAAAACCAGGATGCCCAAGGAAAGGTACTTTAAATTGGTAGACATTTCTTGACTTTTTTCTTCCTGAAACAGAAAAAAAACAAACCAAATCCAGGTTTCAAAGGTAATATAGATGTTTCCCTTGGGAGCCAGTATATTAAAAAAAGTTATGTAGGGAGCTCAGCCAAAGTAAAACAACAAACCTAATCTGATATTTAAAAAGAAAAAGCAGATTAACACTTTAAAAATGTTTTTCAAATACATTATTACAAATAGGGAAGCATATTAGAATATTAGGAGAAGTGATAACTAATAGAGAAATTGAATTAAATATTTCTTATCTGTAATAACAATAGTAAAGTAAAATAAGAACTATTATCTGATTTAACAAAAGAAATCTCCCAAGTTAGATCAATCATGGATTTCTTTATGTAGGTGATGGCTCAGAAGGTATTTTCAAAGTGAAAAAGCTCCAAATGCCCAGTACCCCTGCTGCAATGAGCTATTCCCAGAAGAGATCTTCTCATTCTTCCACTTCTCCGAAGTTTTTTAGGTAGCAGTCTCTGCCTTGCTAGACGACACAGTGGCAACACAAGACAGGTGAGGGTTGGGCTGCTTTAAATGTAAATGAGAGGTATGGCTGATGCTGAAGGAAAAGGATAGTTGTGGGAAAGCAGGGTTGGATAGGAAAACATGGGATGGAAGAGCTTCAGGGGAGACAGCACTAAACCTATCTCACTGATTATCCTGCTCAGAAAAAAATCACTTGAATATAGATGACTAGGTGACTGCATCTACTTTCTCATACAGCATCAACTCCACAAACCTTACGTTAGTAAAGCTGTACCATTCTAACCTCTACCATGAATTTTCACCAAGCTGACATAGGGGTTTTTGCTCTTTGTCACCAATTAAAGCATTAACTTAGTGCAGGAGGCTAACAGAGAAAGCAATTCTCATTTTGCAAGCACAATATGTGACAAGAAAATTAAAAAATGCATCACTGCTATTCATGATATAATTTTCTGCTATTCTTCATATTAAGTAAGAAGAATTTCCATATACACAGAAATTAATGCTTTCTGTAAACAATTAACTTCACTGCCTTCACTGCCCATATATGCAAAAAATGAGCAGTGTTTTAGAATGCCAAAGTAAAATCCAATCAGTAATTAAAAGTTAACAAATATGTTTTCAAATAGAACAGTAACAAGTTAAGACAATAAATGCAGTTCTCACTGTTAGAAGTCTAGAGATGGCAGAAGCAGTACTTACTGGATGGATATTCCAGAACTGTCCCTATGCATCTTTTACACCTACACAGAAGTTTTGAATCCTTAACTATCTAGTTTTGTACACACTGCTGAAGGATGTGCTGGTACCTGTAAATATTTGCAGCTGAAATCAAAGCTGTTTCTTGCTGACTGCATTTCTCTAGCTCAAGATGCATTTCATAAAAATTTTAATTGCTATTATTTCAAAGATCTGGAGAGCTGTGCTGTTCAAATATTTCTGACTTGCCTTTATCTTGTCTCTAAGCATTAATAGGTTTTCTCCAGTCAAGTATACAAAGTCAAATTAATTCCTGTATGGCATGGCAACTTATGAGACATTGCAGTAACCTGCAAACACATATGAATTGCCAACAGCCACAGAGATATGAAACACATACTTGTATCCTACACAATAAAATTATTTACCTCAAGAATCATATGGCTGTAAAAATATTTGTAAAAGCATATTGGCAAAGGAGGAAGAAAAAGATGCCAGGATGCAGAAAACTGAGGAAGAAATACACAAGGATTCATTTAAGGAATCTTAATAGAAGATACTTTTGTATGAACTATGATCTCATTTAACTCATTGAAGAAACAAATATGAAAGATGCAACTGCACTGGACAATATAAATCAGACGGACATGTAAAGCACGAAGGAAAATAAAGCTGCAGACAACAATAAAGATTTGCTAACTTCTTTAACAGGTTCTCGTGGAATAATCCTTTACATAAGGATATTAACTGTGGAATTACACATCCCCAAGAACAAACCAGAGATCAGTTAGTTAAAGATCTCTGAAGAACAGATTTGCTACAACTGAGAACAAGGGGGAGAAACAGAAGAACAGTTCCTATAAAGGGATGAAGAAGGGACATGCAAGGTCAGAGATCATACTCTTCAGAGAAACACCATCAGCATAGAGAAGATAGAGGGAGAAAAAGGGGAAAAAAAAACAAAACAAACCAACAAAACGAAAAACAACCCACTAAGAGAAAATGCAGAACTGAACTTCTTGAAAAGGTCTGCCTGTGATGCTGGAAAAAAATTACATTGCAAAACATATGTTTGTGTGAGCCAACTTGTACAAATAATTTCTTCTACCTTTTTTAGTATTGAGACATGACAATCTGGAAAAACAAAGAGCAATATACGGTTAAGATGAACAACACTAAACTTCATGAAAGTAAACTTACAGATAAATAAGTTTTTAAACTTTTTGGTTTTCAGTTTTCAAAATGCTTCTGAACAAAATACAGGTAACGGGAACACACATCTCTCCTCAACTCAGACCCAAACTTTTGCATTCTGTGAGCCTGTGAAGTAACAAAGGGTTTTACAAATGTTCAAAATTCTCGGAAATCAATTCCTTAATCTTCAAAATAGGTCACAATATCAGAAAATAATGTTCACATTAATTTCTTGATGAAATACAACCATCTATTTACTAAGCAGCTTAAAATGTAATATTAAAAGTCAATCATTAATACCTTGTTTATGAGCAAGCATCAAAGCATTCAGCATGAAAACATGCCAGCAAGCACAACAGTTTAATAAGCCCATGAGCAAAGCCATAAGGAATATATAACACAATTATTATCTTAAACTGCAGTCTTGTCTTCATTAGTAATCATGATAAAAAAAGGGAACTTTCCCCAAACAATGTGTCTCAAAAAGGTGCCAGTAGCAGGAAATATTTCTTTACCATAATTCACTAAAGCAGTTTCAGAGTTTCCAAAATTCACACAAAATGGACTTTAAGTATCCAGTGTGATAACTGAAATAAGGATATTTGTTAAAAGCTGTCCTGTCAGTGGTCAGTGAGACAGGCTTGTAGAGAACAAGTGTTTGAAGTTTCATGCTGTACTTACAAATAGTTGGTTCACTGAGCAGGAACTAGAGTCCTGAAACTTACGTATTCCAACAAAATAACCACCCTCTACTGAGCACATATCTTATCAGCTCTCCTGGTCCCTCTTCCTTTCTCTTTTAAGAGCTGCATATCAGTTTGTAGAACTCGGTGCAAACTGAGGACTGGATCCAGAAAAAAAGCCAAGTACTGAACTTCAAACAGTTGAACTGTCTTCAAGCTGCAGTTTCACAGCAGGTTTACATTTACATTACTACCAGAGGTACAATCGCACTCTTCTAGTCATGAGTTCCTGCTACCCTCACTGCAACAGACTGTGCTGTCATATACTAAATGAACTATTGCCTTCAGTAGCAGTCCACACTTTGATTGTCTTAAACCAGTAAATAAATTAAAGTTCCCAGTGCATTTCCTGTACAGAGTTACAACCAGGTTTAGATGTCTTACTGGGCTCTGGACAGACTACTCAGTAGTCTGCAGAATGCCACTGATCCAAAAAGCAGATTTAGGTTTGCTAATTCAAACACTGAAAGTTGAGTGGTCACATTAACTCAGTGACGTTTAAACTTTTAAACTGTATCTTACAGCGAGAGGTGCTACATACCTGCAACTCCTTGACTGTAATGTAGCCTGTCACATCTGTTAACTCAGTGACTAGGCTCATTATTATTTCCTTTTATTAGTCTAGGTAAAAAAAAAAGTAAACTGCTCCAGTATATCATGTAGACACACCCTACAGCCAGCAACACGGAAGGCAGGGGAAGAGGTGAAAGGCAGCTCTATGTGGGAAGTCAACATGAAGTAAGCCAAGATGGTATTTAGAGCCACGTCACATTCAACTTCAGTACACACAGGTGGATAAAATGCAGATGGATAGTACATGAGGAGTTGTTCTCCTTAAAAGTATAAAAGAAAATGACCCTGAAAATGTTTTACAGACTCAGGAAACCAAACCAAACCAATCTATACATGAAATTATACCTTCAACTCAAAGTATGATACTGTGCAAAGTCTGAAAAATATCTGTTCCAAGGAAGCAGATTTTTAAAATGAAAAGTCACATATTTCCATTTCATAATATTCACTTGGACAAAATGAATAAATTTCTGACTTCCAGATTTTCATCTCCCTTAGTAATTTTTCCATCACAGGATGAAATTTCATATTCTGCATTTTATTCTTATATCATCCCTACACTTTCCCTCCTAAAGTATGGGTAAATTCTAATGTTTGCAGATGAAATACATTAGGCCAAAAGCAACATCATCAATTTGACTTAATGAGCAGTAAACATACCACATATATTTTATTTTCCTCTATCCATTCTTAACAAAATTCGATAATATTAACCAAGATTTACTACATAAGCAACAAAAAGAAGATTACAGGACTCTTCCTAACCTTAAGATTTTGTCTTTCAAAGACCTGATGGTATAAACTCTTGAGCTTCTCAGCTGCTAAATATCTACAGTAACAGAACCTTGTGCAAAAGGATTAGTTTATAAATTTATCCTACTCTTAAGTTTGTAGGAGATAACAAAATCTGACAGAATTACTTTAGTTTGAGGTATCTAAAACACTAAAAAAAAATAGAACTCTAGAAGGAAATGTGACTAAATGAATTTAAATACTGTTTAGTTAAACTCAGAGATTAGAGACTGTCTTGAGACATTTTCCAAAGATGGTTGGAGTTATACTGTGCATTATGGAGATCCTTCCAGCAAACATGGCCTAACAACGTCTACAAGAACAAAAAAGCAGGGGCAACTCCACAGATCGAGGGACTCCCCAAAATTTCACACCATGCTGACACAAATATGATCAGATAAAGTGAGCACAGAACTGTTAAGACTCAATTTAGTCTAAAATCAGGTATCTAGTTGATTAGCATGTTTTAGACTCACTGAAATTTTAAGGTTGGGGTGCCTTACATTTTCA